CAGACAAGAAAATTCTTTAACTGGTTTATAAAATCTATCAGTACTTGTATCATTCCCTGTCAAAGGCAGCAGACATATGATTGTGATCAGGAAACTGCACAAAACTATTGTTTCAACCCCCATGTTATTGTCCTTGTGAAGTTTTTTTTTAATAAAAGCCAACTTTTTGTTGTATATATTCGTATTCCATGTGTTAGATGGAAGCATTTCCTATCCAGTGTGAATAAAAAAGAACAGTTGTAGTAAATTATTATAAAGCCAATGATATTTCATGGCAGGTTATTCTACCAAGCTGTGCTTGTTGGTTTTTCCCATGACTGTATTGCTTTTTGAAATGTACAAATAGTTACCGAAATGACGAGACCCTTGTTTGCACAGCATTAATAAGGACCTTGAGTTTCGTGGTCCCCTCTTTTGAAGACCAGATCACAAGCAGTTTCTGGCCTGGAGCTTTGCACATATTCCAGTGAGACTGGAAAAGTTCTCTGTTTTACCAAGATCAAGAACAGAGCTGGTGGACAAATTAATTAATAGTCTTGGATATCTGGCCATGGGTAACTTCATTGTAAATATCACTAAAATGGGCAGAGATGATTTTAATGTCTCATAAACACTAGAGTCCAAACACTGTCAGATGAGAAAAAAACTATCAAAGAACTAGGAAAAAAATAATAATTATTATGAGATAGTGAGCAAGTTTCAGCCCAATGCCAACTCAATAAAAACAATTAATGCTGTGTAAAATGGGTTGAATTAGCTTGCAAACTATATAAAGATATATGCAGTGAAACACCTGTTAATGCACACAAGATGGGAATGAGGTGTTCTAGTCAATTGCCTTTTCTAGTTATCTGAGCTCTACTATATTATCATACTTGGATAACCAATTTAAAACAATTAGAATATGATTTTTTTAAATACACTTAACATTAAACTCTTCCTCTAATTCTTTCTCCTTTCTGTGATAATTCAGAACACAGTTATGGATCTCCAGTGAGTCATTGTTATAAAAAATGAGTTATCACTGTACTATGCTATAAGAGACTGGGCTAACCCTGCACAATGACAAACTCTGGAAGTTGCTTTTAAAAAAAAAATAATAACAATAAAATACTAAAATCATCTCTTTTACTGGTTATTTGTCTCTTTGTTATAAAAATAAAGTGTAGACTGTTCAACTACTTAACATCTTGATGATAATAAAACAACTGTTGTTATGCAAATTATATTTCTGAAATCATTATTATATTTCCAGTAAGTTCTTTACTGTCTTGATTATTGTCATTTTTTTCCTTAGCTGTCCAACATTCAAAATATTCTTTATTTCTTTTTTTTTTAATGTTTACTTATTTTTGAGAGAGAGGGAGAGAGGCCGAGAGGGGAGGGGCAGAGAGAGAGGAGAACAGAGGATCCAAAGAGGGCTCTGTCCTGACAGCAGAGAGCCCAGCATGGGGCTCAAACTCACAAACTGTGAGATCATGACCTGAAGTTGGACATTTAACTGACTGAGCCACCCAGGCACCCCTAAAATATTCTTTATTTCTAGTAACAGTTTTAAAATTTAAAATGGAATCCAAGCTAAATGAAAATATAAAGTAAAAAGTCGAGATGGAGAAGCACACAGAAAAAAAAAAACGTAGTGGACCAGTCAGGATTGTTTCTGGCTGCCTGTAACAAGATTTGGGGCCATGACTGATTTGATTCTCACAGCAAGGACTCCAGAGGTTTGCAGCTGCTCAAGAAACCAGGCAGCATTACAGCCAGTGCTGCAGTAAGTACCTTTCCTTCCGTATACATCTCAAAATATTTTTATTATATCTGCAATTCTGATACAAACCACTTGATTCCTAGCATCTTCAATCCAGCTCCTTCACTGAAATTTTTGTGTAGGTAAGAGTCTCTTACTAGTTCCTGAATTTGTTTCTTTTACAAGTCTTCCTTCAACCCTGAATTCATCTTAATTGGAATAAAACCATCTGCAAACAGAAACCCATGCCACATTTTTTCCCAAGATTGCAATAGTATTTACTTTTTAATAGCTTTTTGGGCACATGCACATTTTTAAATTACATTCTTAATCATTAAATGGTTTTGAGATAACCGGCTAGCAATTTGGAAGGAAAAAGAAAACTTGGAGCTCTACTTCACTCCTTGCACCAAAATTAACTTCAGCTGTATTTAATTTAAGTGTAACAAATAAAATGAAGAAAGTACTAGAAGTGGAAAAAATATTTACTGTATCATATGAGGAATTTTTAAATCCTGCATATTACCAACCAACTTTCTCATGAAATCGCTTCAACTACCGTGAGTAATGCTCCAATGCATTAAGTTGAATAAACAACAGAAATAAGGTCATCGATCAGGTACTGTGAACTTGAGCAGATCTACAATTTTCCATCACTAAATCCAATGTTCTTCCCTCAGATAAATGTATGTTTCTCTGGAGTCTCATTTAGGTATAGAACAACCAATACAACACTTTGTCCCTCTAAATACATTACAAACAAGGTCTAAGTGCTTACAATTACCAAGCACTGGGTAAAGCTATAGAGTTGGTATCCGCAAAACAGATGAGTTTACTCTGATTACAATTGTTTTGTTATTTTATTCTGATTACAACTGTATTATGTTGGCTTGAACCACCACATCCTCATCAAATTTATACCTAAACAAATTAGAAGTAATCTCTGATTCCTCCCCTTTTTATGTAACATTCAAATAGTCAGTTATATAGATTCTCCCATCTCTACTAAAAACGGGACCATTTTAATTGTTGGGGTTCGAAACTGTGCAACATCTCCTTTATTTAGTTTTAAATATCATCTCACAATGTACTTACAAGGCAACAGCTAACAAAGCTCTGCCTAAGTCACTTGAGAGCTCAAAACAAAGTTCTGTGTACCTTAGCTGGCATCTTTAGTTGCTAGTTGCTTATAAACATTAAAATAAATACAACTCGTAAAAGACATTTTCCTTTGTGTAGTAAAGTGGTTTGCATTCTTGCAAAACATTTTAAAGTTTATTTATTATTTTTGAGAGAGAGAGTGTGTGAGAGAGAGAGAGAACCAGTGGGGGAGGGGCTGGGGGTCCAAAGGATCTGAAGGGGGCTCTGTGCTGACAGCAGAGAGCAGGATGCGGGGCTCGAACCCATGAACTGTGAGATCATGACCTGAGCCGAAATCAAGAGTCAGATGCTTAACTGACTGAGCCACCTAGGTGCCCTACAAAACATTTTTAAAGTACAAGAAATGTGGGGTATGAGTGCTAAGAGTCCAGAAAACATTAATGAACATTAATTTTCTTCTGAAAGAGAAGTCATAAGACAGGCCATCTCTCAGCCACCCATCACTAGTCCCTTTCAAAAATGCACCCTCAAGAGCCATGGAAGAATTACAGCCCTCTATCACATTTTTTAAAAAATACAAACATTTTAACTTCCCCCTCCCTCTGAGGCACACCCTAACTTTGCAGGATACAGACCACCTGTCTTTTTGCTTAGTTTTACTCTTGAAAGTATTACCTATAGATTCTCTAAGAGACTGGCTCAAAATTAATGATAATCTTCATTTTCAACCAAGATCTTATAGAAACAGATAAATATTCCACATGAATGGAAAGAGTGTTTCATAGATACGGTGATGCAGAAGCACTGACATTCATCTGAACTTGGAGGAAAGGGCTTCTCCCCAGCTGGGGTGGATTCCAAAAGGGAAGCAACCTGTCTCTGCCGCGGGTGGCCCACAGCGGTATTCAAAGGTCAGGCTCCAAAGGGTGGAAGGAAAGACAGCAGGAGCTAGGAAGGTGAGAGGAGCCAATCCAGGCAAGAGAGGCAAGAAGGAGGAAGTAGTGAATGAGGCTGCGTAATTTCTGGCAATCCAACAACTGGAATTAAGTAGGGTGCAGATAAACTAGGGCTTGGGAGGTTAGCTCAGCTACATGTCCTGCTGGCTAAAAACATCAGGCATGGTAATATAGTCACTAGCATATAACAAAAAACCAGGGCACCTGGGTGGCTCAGTCAGTTAAGTGTCCTGACTCTTGGTTTTTGGCTCAGGTCATGATCTCACATTTCTTTAGTTCAAGCCCCTCCACAGGCTCTGTGTGGACAACATGGAGCCTACTTGCGATTCTCTCTCTCCCTCTCTCTCTCTCTGCTCCTGCCCCACTCATGCAGCCTCTGTCTCTCTCAAGTAAAACTTAAAACAAACAAACAAATAAACAAAGAACCAAGTGACTATTTTTCTGGCAGCAATAACCATACTGTTGAGCACGCCCCGGCTGAGAACAATACTGACATCTGATGACCTTGAGCAAAGTGAAAGTGCAGACAGA